ATGGAGCAGCTGGACACTTTAGATCCAGAGAGGGAGAGCGACTATGTGCTGAAGACCTGGGGGGCACGGGGGAAGGATTGCATGGAGGGGATTGTAACCATGACAATGAGACAATATATGATAGAATGAATGTAAAACTAATGTTCTCCCATGTAAACTATCACATAATTCACAATAAAACATTTAATTTTAAAAAACAACAAACAAACAAAAAAACACTTGCTACTTCAGAACTGAAAGATAGGTGGAAATGGTGATACACTAGCAAGTCACCTTCCCAAAGAGAGGAAAGGTCACCGAAGCTGGATAAACTCAAAAGTGCCACACGACACTAAAAAGCTAACCTGACGACTTTCGCAGCATACAGGGCTGCCACCATTGATCTGTTCTAGTTGATGGTTTTCTAACATAGTGAGAGTAAGAAAAGCTATCCTTCATAATCCAAAAGCTCTCATGAGGAAAACTGCCTACAGGGCTGATCTTACTAGTTTTGTGACTGTGCCTTTGCCAACAATACCACAGCCTCTACCAGAATACCAATCACACCATCAGCTATTTGAGCAGAAACAACTATTAACTCCAACACCAAGTATTTCTACTTTAAAAGCAACACACCAGTGGTAGCAACCAAGACAACCAAACGAAAATAGCTGGTTTATGAATTTTATCCATACACCCAACTATGTACATATCCACCCAACAGTCCTCCTCCATTTGTTAATAACCCACTATGTGCTGGACACTACCCAAGACACTCTTTCCCTGAAGCTGGCTCTGCAAGGATACGAGAAGTACCGAGTTCTACCTCCCATAAGAAATCATGTACCCAATGCCAAAATGCAGGGATCTTACCTACTATTAAATGGGACGCGTTTACAGGCAAATTACAGAGCCCCAGTCAAAGCACCGTATGTACTCAGGGCAACAGTTCGTAACCCCGCTGCTTATTAGCATCACCTGGGGAGCATTCCCATCATGCCAACACCTGGGCCCTGTCCCAGATCAATTAAATCAGAATCTCGGGCAAACTGACATTTTTAAAGCTTTACAGATGATTCCAAAGAGCAGCCAGGGTTGCAAATCACCAGTCTTGAGTATTTCCAGAGTGACATTTCTACAAACCTCTTAATCTGCAAATCTATTGTTGCTGTTGTTGTTAAGAGTCAATGAGTTGGTTCCCGAGTTCCAGCAACCCTGAATACGGTTTCAGAGGATAAAAATCTTCATGGGAGAAGAAAGCCTCATCTTTCTCCTGTGGAACTGCTAATGGGTTTGAACTGCTGCTCTTGTGGTTAGCAGTCCAGTGTTTATCCTAGAATGCCAGCAAGACACTCCATATATATGTACTGATGGTGCTGGAAGTGCTGTCGAGTCAGTTCAGTGTATTGTTAAGTGCTGTGGAGTTGGTTCCAACTCATAGGGATCCTGTAGAGGGTTTCCAAGAAGTGGCTGGTAGATTTGAACCACCTGCTTTGTGGTTCACAGTCCAGTGGTGCTCCTATAGCGCCACACCAGGACCACAAAGACTTCATCTCCCATCCATCATACCTGCTGAATTAAACTGTCATCACGTCAGTAAGGTGTTCTCTTCAAATCACTGGTCCCACCATTTGTTTACAGCAATACAACAGTAAAGGCTGGTGGACATGAGCAGGCCTTGAGGTCACTCCCTGCCCCACCCTCAGCAACCCAGAGCTGGATGTGACTGGCAGTGTAGACATCAGTCAGGAGCCCTGGCTCTCATGCGGTATGTGAGTGCTTGGGTGAGTGGAATTGGCAAAGTCCAGGCTCAGTAAGCTGACAGGAGGAAGCCTTCACAGTGGAGGCCTGATCACCAGACTCTTTGTGCTCTTAAAGGAGAGTAATTATAGGCCTGTGAAAAAAGCGAAGCTCTCCCTGAGGAGCTCTTCCTCACACGCTTCCCAAGAGGCAGCAGGGCCATTAAAAATTCCATGATGAAGAGGAAAAACAGCCTGGGAACAGCCAGGAGGCAATAGAGCAAATTAATACACCAGCCCTCCTCGGGGAAAGCTGTGATAAAACAGGAAACACTTCTCTCTTCGCAAAATAAAATTATACCACTAATGATAACATAGTCAGCACACACACAAAAATCGTTCTAATGACGGGTATGAAATTCCCAAGGCTGCCCAGATGCTTTGAAAGAAATCTTTTCCTACTACAAATAAAATGGAACAAGAAAAAGATAAAATTTCCATTAGCAACACTTTTTAATACAGTTATTCGCTTGCCTCTTCCCTGCCACCACCACGCCTCACCACCCCCGCCCGCCTCTGTGCCAGGCTTTTTGTTCAATGGCCCGCTCTCTTCAGAAAGCTCACTGTCCAGTTTTGAACTGATCCATCAGTCTGCCACAAGAGCAGGTGGAAAACTCCATGATTGGCCCCTTCTCAACTGACTCCTTGCTAGGGAGAGACTCCACTATTTCAGAGGAGAGAGACAGCCCGGGGGGCTCACTGTGCCGGAGCAGCATTCCCCCACCATACACACACACTGTTGCCTGTGCGTCCTTAGTGTTAAAGAACGTGAGCCAACACCTCAAAATACGCAACCCAGACACATAAAACAAAAATACGTGCTACACAACAACAACACAAATGTGTCAGCTGCTGTGTGTTGTCGAGGTGATTCCAACTCATAGCAAGCCTATATAGGGTTTCTGAGCCTGTAAATCTTTATGGGGAATAGAATGCCTCATCTTTCTCCCACTAAGCAACTGCTGGATTTGAACTGCTGACCTTGCGGTTAGCAGCCCAATGCGTAACCCACTATGCTACCAGGGCTCCTGATTAACATGCATAGGTTCAATTTAAAACAACACCAAAAAAGGAAGTTAGGAAGAATAAACAAATGTTAAAGTTTTCCATTTCCTTCCTCTACCTGCAAAGAGCTTTCACGCCTGCAGCCAACTGCCTTGGGGATGGCGTCTAGAAGGAAGGGGCGGGATGGCGGCCATTCTCCTTTGCTTCCAGCGCTGGTCTAAAGCCATCAGCTGACGGCACTAGAAGCACAGGCCTGACTTCCTGATGCTTCCAGGTCCAGTCACAAGCACTGCCAAGCAAGAGAGAAGACACTGACGTGGCTAATGAGACACACAAAGACACAGGAAGGTGCCGGCCAGTCCAGGCACAAGACGAGGCTTGTACAGGAAACCAGAAACCCAAAGAGGTGTGAATCCCAAGCTCAGCATAGCACAGCTCTTAGAAGCAGAAGTAAAAGGAAGGCAAAGTCATTCACTTTCAGAGTCTGACACGATGCAGCGTCACTCACAGTCATCCCAAAGGTCTGCATGGCCGTGCATTTAGTCAATATGAAACAAAAAGCTGAAAGTCTGCTTTCCTATATATTAAAATCTTGCGTCTTCCTAAAGAGCTTGAGGACTTGCTAAGAAAAACCCCCATGAGCCTCTCATCTTGAATTAGTAGCTTTCTATCATTGCGGTGATGGTGGCTGGTGGTTGTATGCCACCGAGTCTGTTCCGAACTCACAGAGACCCTGTATGGGGTTTCCGAGACTGTAAATCTTTACGGGAGCAAAATGCCTCATCTTTGTCCCATGGAATGACTGGCAGATTCGAACTGCTGACCTTGTGGTTGGCAGCCCAGCTAGTAATCCACTATGCTACCAGTACTCCTTCCATCACTCCTGTGCATACCTGTATTACACATCACTCTCCGTCATACTGTAATTGTCAATTTCCACACTGATTTTCCCCGGAGAATGTAGGCTCCTTGAAGCTCGTAGCTAAACAAAGAGCCTGGCACGTCGGAAGAAGCCAGCAAATGTTGGACGAAGGAAAGAGTAAAAAACAAGCAGCAGCTACGGCACTAAAGACTAGCCGCTTAACACCATCCCACAATTTCCACTTTCTTAGTAATGCCATTTAGGATCACTTCTTTTCAGAGATTTCCCCCATTAAAACTGTTACTTCTCCAGTAAACAGATGTGGAAATGGGTTGTGGTGCAGAGTTTAGGATCAAAGCCCACAATGGAAGATGGCATTGTATCCAAGTAAGAGTAACTGCTCCATGCAACCTGAACTCCAAATCTACAAACATATCCATTTAAACGCCTATTAGGAAGAAAGAAAAAATCATCAGAACGTAGGAGAGAAATTCACTCTTCTGTGGTCCACATCATTAACTGTTCTTTTGTGCACACGGACCCTACACTAAGGATACTCTCATGAAAAGAATATTCACTCCCCATGTCATTGGGCTCTCCAGAGAATTTATACTGAGAAACAAAAAATGTATTCCGCCAACAAATACATACTAAAGGCCTATTAAAGGCCAGACACTGTTAGGTGCTGGAGCTAGATCAGGCAACAAGGCCAAGTTCCTATACTTATGAAGCTCATGTTCCAGTAAGAGAGACAGAGGGCAAAAGTTAAAAACGGAAAACACTAAGAAACAAGTTCACACAGTGTGTGGTGTGAGCTATAATGGAAGCAACAAGATGGTGAGCAAGGAGGGCTCCTTTAGAGAGTGCAATCTGAGAGGACTTTCCCAAGGAGAGAGCACCTGGGCCCAAAGGAAGGGTGTGAAGGTCCAGAAGCAGGGCAAGAGGTGCTATCTGGGAGGACAAAAGAGAGCTCCCTGCTGTAGTTGTATCTGCCCTGGTGCAGCTGCGGGGCGGGGGGGTGGGGGGGGAATGTAAGTAGAAGTCAGATTACACAGGGCTTTGCAGGTCATGGTGAGGACCATAATAATGTTCTTTGTGATGGGTTCTACTGCAGAATTAACATAAAATAGGAGCCAGGAGACTTGAGATCTAGTCACCCACCAGCCACGTGACACACCACATGGAAGATACTTGAACTCTGGGCTTCAGGTTGCCTCTCTAAAGGATCTATCACCCACAAAGGTGATTGTGAGGACCAATGGGACGCTACACAAACAAAATGCTTTCTCACTTGAAAAGTTATATGAAAAATAAAAATTATTGTCCAGAATAAACAGCCACCGGAGGATGGTTACCTGGCAGAGCAGTGTGCTGGTGAACATCTTCGGTGAGAAGCATCAGCAAGAACATCCAGCGAATAAAGGGGAGAGAGGGGATTAAACTGTAGGAATAAGTAAGATTATTTTAGTAAGGCTAATATCAAAGGGATCGGCTCCTAAAGCGTAACCTGTTAACTGATTACTTTTCCTCTCTGAATATCCAACTCTTTTACCAACCCAAACACAGATACTATTAAACAAAGCCTCATCTATTCAATATGGGAGCATGGCGGCTCCATAGGATAAGCATTGGACTGCAAACCACAAAGTCCATGGTTCGAGCATACCAACTCCTCTGTGGGAGAAAGATGAGGCTTTCTGCTCCTGAGAAGATTTAAAGCCTCGGAAACCCTTAAACAAGGTCACTATGACTTGACGGCACTTAACATCAACAATATTCAATACTGAGTGCCAGAGCTAAACTCACCCACTGCCAATGAGTCCACTTGAACCCACAGCAGCCCTGCAGGACAGAACAGAACCACCCCATGGGGTTTCCAAGGCTGTAGTTTTCATGGAAGCAAATTGCAACATCTTTCTCCTATGGAGTAGTAACTGGTGGGTCTGAACTGCTGGCCTTGCAGTTACCAGCCAAGCGCTTATTCTACAGGACCGCAGCAGGGCTCACTCAGTAAGCTACTAAGGAGTAAATCAAAACTCAAACATTTGAGCAATAGGGCAGCTGAGAAATTTTATCTAGCAGACTTTGTCTATTGTCCAACTATGGTGCAATGTATCAGATTTACTGTCTCTTCCAGCCCTTGCCTTTGTAAACTCCCACCAAATGACTTTTTCCTGATGAGACTGAGTAAGAGAAGGTGGAAAAGATGCTGATGGATTGTATGAATCACTTGTGAGGTGTTAACAGAGTTCATTGTGATTGTAAAAACCTGCAACTCTAATGGGTCTAAAATCTCAGAAGCAGGCGGAAGGGGGCTCGCACGATCATCAAAGAATACGAGCCAGGAGTGGAGTGCATCCTTTGGACCCCAAGATCCCTGAGCACTGAACCTCCTCAACCAGGGACAGAAAGCTGTGACATCAGAGGAGGAGCAGCAGCAGCAGAACCAAAAACCAGAGCACCAGACACAGCTACGGGTGTCTAGCCACAGAGCAAGTACAGCTGAGTGACCTTGGGCAGGAGACTTGCTTGCAGAGAGTAGGGTGCCTCCAGACAGTTAACTGGGGGACCCACAGTTTTGTTTGCTTACCCTCAGAGCTAGAACTGAGTGCTTTCAGGATAAGGTTTATGGTGAACGGTAGGCACTGTGAGCATTTGTCAGCAGCTCTCAGAGAGTTTTACGACATTGCCCAAGCAGAATGAGGCCTGCCTGTGAGCACAGCTGAGGAAGAACTGTGCCCTGAGCATTTCTGTCCCTGAATTATAACCTGTTAACTTCCCTAATGAATCCCATAGCTGTGACTCGGGGGTCCATTCTGTGTGACCACTGCAATGACTTGTCAAACCCAGCTGAGAAGTAGGGAGTGCAGCAGGAGACTATCACTAAGATGAAGCAGCACTCACCAAAATCACACAGCTTGAAACATCAAGGAACACATTGATACCTACTGTCAATATTTTCTTATTTTGTTATGGACTATACATAGCAAAACTTATAATTCAACATACACAGTTCAGTGGCATTGTTCACTCTTTACGTTGTACACCCATTTCCATCTCCTTTTCTGAATTGTTCCTCTCCCACTAACATACTACTTCCCACCTATTCTTTGAGTTGCTGGTGTCCATTGGGTCCCGTACAGACTTTGAAAAAGCACTGCTGCTCAAGGCAGACATTCTTTACCAGTCCCACTAAATTCTTTAAGAAAAAGACTTCAATTGTGAAAGTTCTAGCTAGGACAAGGGACCCCTTGGGGGTAGCTAGGAAGGGTGAGGTTCCGAGGCCTGGATTCCAGGCTAGCTCTTCCCTCTTCTGTTTATAGACTTCAACCTTCAACTTCTCAGCACATGATTCTGATACTGAAATAAACCAAATGCAGATAAGGCTCATTGTGTTTTCTTATTGCAAACATAAAAACTACAAAACAGGTCCTATGAAATAGTTACTTGTTACAAGTAATAAACTACTAATCACAGCTGAGCCTACACGGAAAAATTAGTTTCCGTTCTTAGTCTGTGAGTATCAAATATTCTTGGGTAACTGTCCTCCAAGACAATCGGAAGAGCAGGGTGAACACAGTACCCTTACCTCATGAACACAAGTGGAAATGTGAGGGAAATCAGAAGCCAACGATTTGTTCTTTCTAAAGAAAAGAAAACCAAATGATAAAATAAAAATGATAGAGGCCATCTTACCTGATTCCGTTCTCTCTTCCCCGCTGATGGCAACCAGAAACTAAAGAGAATAACAGAAAAGAAGTGGTAGAAAAATATAGAAGAGAAGATAAAAATGTTAGCATTAAAGAATGAAGACAAAAAAAAATGAGGAAAAGGTAGAATTCGGGGGGAGAAGAAGAGAAGTGTTAAATGTGTATAAACTTTTTAGTTGAAAATAGAGCTCTTCAAAGGAAAGGCCTCATAATGCAATGTTTAAAGACTAGGCAGGTAGAAAAGATCCCCAAGATTACAGAATGACATCAATGGCATGTCAGCTGTGCAGTAACAACAGGCTTCCTAACTCAACAAGGGCATAAATCATGCCACACATCTTGCCTATTTCAGGAAATGAAAAGCTACACCAGGCTGGATGTGTATCAGATCATAACTGGATACTGACCAGGATGTGCACAAGCAACATCTAAGAGCCAACCACGTTAGGAGCCAAGACTGACACAATGAAAGGCAGAATGATTCTCTACAAGCTTTCCAACTGCACTTGCTGTTGTTGTTGTTAAGTGCCCTCGAGTCAGTTCTGACTCATAACGACCCTGAATAGGGTTTCTAAGGAGTGGCTGGTGAGCTTGAACTGCTGACCTTTCAGTTCAAGAAGACCCTGCAGTCCAGCACATTAACCCAAGGTCACATTTCTCACCATTGTTAAGACAGAAGATATTTCCCTAAATGTTGTTGTTAGGTGTGTCTGAGTCAGACCACTGACTCACAATCTTTGCTATTTCAACTCATGACTGAAGCCACTGTGTCAATCCATTTCACTGAGGGGCTTCCACTTTTTCACTGATTATTTAACCACACATGGTACCCATCTCCAGGACCCAGTCTCTCCTGATAACTATGTCTAAAATATGAGGGACAAAGGCTTACCTACTCACTTTTGAAGAGCATTCTAGCTGCACTTCTTCTAAGACAGATTTGTTTTTCTTCTGGCAGTCCATGTACTTTCCAATATTCTTCCCCAGCACCATCATTCAACGACATAAATTCTTCTCTAGTCTTCCTGATTCATTGTCCAGCTTTCACTGCAATATGAGGTGAATGAAAATACCCTAACCTGGTTCAGGTGCACCTGGTTCAGTCTTCAAAGTGACACCTTTGCTCTTTAACACTTTAAAGATGTCTTTTGCAGCAGATTTGATAGTGTAATATGCCATATGATTGACAGTGTAATATGTCATATGATCTCTTGACTGCTGCTTCCATGGGTGTTGATTGTGGATCCAAGTAAAATGAAACCCTTTTCAACTTCAGTATTTTCTGTGTTGATCATGTTGGTGCTGCTTTGGTGCACTGTGAGAATCTGTTTTCTTTATGTTGAGGTATAATCCATACTGAAGTCTGTAATCTTCATCAGTAAATCAAGCAAGGTTGTGTCATCTGTATATTGCAGGCTAATATGCCTTCCTCCAATCCTGATGCCATATTCTTTTTCACATAGTTCAGCTTCTCAGATTATTTGCTCAGCATACAGATTAAATAAACGTGAATAGATACAACCCTGACGCATATCTTTCCTGATTTAAAACTACACAGGATCCTCTTACTCTGTCCAAATAACTGCTTCTTGGTCTATGTACAAATCTCATATGAGCAAAATTAAGTGTTCTGGAATCTCCATTCTTTGTAATGATCTCCATAATTTGTTATGATACACACAGTCAAATGCCTTTGTACAGTCAATAAAACACAGGTAAACATTACTGAAAATTTCTGCTCTCAACCAAGATCTATCTGATATCATCAATGATATCCCTCATTCCAAGTCCTCCTCTCATCTGATAGTTCCCTGTCTATGTATTGCTGCCACTGTTTTTAAATGATCTTTGGCAAAATTTTAATTGCATGTGATATTAATAAGTTAGAAATTTTCTGTATTCTCTTAGATCACCTTTCTTTGGAGTGACACAAATACGGAACTCTGCCAGTCAACTGGTCAGGTAGATGTCTTCCACATTTCTTGACGTAGATGAGTAAATGCTTCCAGCACTGCATCCATTTATTGAAACAGCTCATCTGATAGAGTATCAATTCCTGGAGCCTATTTTTGTCAATGCCTTCAGTTCAGCTGGAACTCCTTCCTTCAACAACATCAGTTCTTGATGATATGCTATTTCCTCAAATGGCTGAATGTCAATCAACTACTTCTGGTCCAACTGTGCATTCTATCTTCTTTGTGGTCTATCCTTCCCGGGGTTCGTTTAGTTTCTTCAATGCTTACCTTCTCATCTTTCTGGATGTTAAGGAAATTTTCCTCCAGCAGCTCTGCGACTATCTCCTCTGTGGTTTCTGTGATTCTTCCTGTTCTGGAACTCAAATCACCTGTAGGTTACTTCTCTTCATGTTGTCCCCCACGACTTTTAGACTTTCTTCAGATATTTTCATTCTTTTTTTTTCTGCTTGCTCTTCTATCTTAGCAGGAGTGAGAAATTTGTTTTCTAGCTCGTTGATTCTGGCTTCCATCCTTTCAAGTCTACTCCTTTGCTTTTTCAGTGTATTGTCCATTGATGATATTTTAATATTAATCATCTGGACCTCTTTTAGCAGGTTTTGAATTGTTTCCAATGCTATTTCAATCTTATTTGATTGTTCCTATAGCACTTTTTTGGCTACTTCCTTAGTTTCCTCAACCTTTCTGTGAAATATTAAGATGCAAGTCAATATAATTCTCCTGAATTCCTTATAGGGCAGTTCCAAAGCCCAATGGAACTCCTTCCAAGGGAAATTCTAGATCTACCTCCAAATCACTTGCTTGAACTGCTCTGTCTGGTTTCTGCACAGGAGCAGAAATTTTCTGTTGCTGCTTAGGTATTGTGTGAATTTATGTTGGTGGATACTTAAGCTCTCTGATTGCCTCCTGGTAAATGTATCAGGAGATGGATTTCTCTTTTCACGTGTCTTACTACTCAACTCAGAGTGAGCTTAGCAGGTGCTAGTTATTTATGTTGTTCTGGTGTACAGCAGGCTGGTATTGGTTCTTGTTCAAATGGTGGGATTTTATAGGGTGTGATTGTAACTTGGCTATACAACCTAAACTGCTGTCTCTTGTTGGGAAAGGCAAAGAGAGAAAGATCCCACCACCACAAGATAAAAGGGGGACCAAAAAAACAGACTGAACACTAAAATACAAAATTGTCAAGAAAGAAAACACAGTAAGTGAAATATAAGACTTTAACACCTTTTTTTTGGCTTCTTTCCTTCAAAGCTTCCTGAGAAATTTCAAGATGTTCTCATTGCACTTATGATGTAACTCCAGGCTATGTTTTTTGGCCTTTTTCCTCCTTTTTTGCCTCTCTCATCTCCTCAAGCCCGTTCAGGTGTTACTCCTAGTAAGACCCACCCCAGGACTGCCCAGACCCGTTTTGGAAGACACTCCCATTTTAAGCTGTTCTGTCGACTCCTCCCCCTTCTTCGATTCTGTGCCCAGCGATCCTTGCATGAATAGTAGAACCTTCCCTGGTGGTGTCCACTCGCTCAGGTATCACCTCTTGTCCCCAGAATGGAGGTGGGTTGTTGTTGTTAAGTGCTGTGGAGTCGGTTCCAACTCATAGCGATCCTGCACAGGGTTTCCCAGGCTGTAAATCTTTATGGTAGCAGAAAGCCTCATCTTTCTCCCATGGAACAGCTGGTAGTTTACGTTGACCTTGAAGTTAGCAGCCCAATTCTAACCACTGTGCTACCAGAGCTCCTGGTCTTACTTGTAGGTGTATGGATATTATCCTATCATTCACAGTGCTGTACGTGAGAATAAATCTTGAAAAATTCTTTATGACAATGGATATGAAACTATTCTTCTTCAATTTGTAATTCCCAGCTAGTAGACCATATGGTTGCTCAAAATAGCCAATACCAGTCCATTTCAGCTCACTAGTGCTTAGGATATCAATATTCAAGTGTTCCGTTTCATATTTTACAACTTCCAGTTTTCCTAGTACTTCACGTATTCCACATTCTGATTACTAATGTCTGTCTGTCTGCATCTGTTTCTCCTCATTTTGAGTTGTGTGCCCAGCAGCAAACGTAGGTCCTTTTCTGAAAGCTTGATTCCATCCACATTCCATAAAGTCGACTCTACTCTGACGGGGCATCACTTCCCCAGTCATATTTTCAGTGCCTTCCAAAAATGGAAAGGAACCTCTAAGGTGGTACAAACAGTTAATGCTTTTAAACTGCATACCAAAAGGTTGGCGGGTCAAGTCCACCCAGAAGTAACCTCCGAAGACAGGTCTGGTGATCTACTTCCAAAACATGAGCCACTAAAAGCCCTGTGGAGTCCAAAAGGACTCTGATAGACAGAGGCTCATTACTAGCAGTCAGATTCAACTTTAATGATAACTTGCTTTTTTAATGGGAAAAGCATATAGACAATATAGAGGCAACTGTCCATTTAAAACAAATTGTTTTTTAAGAGACAGAAAAGTGAGCTTATAATATTACATCATTGTTGGAAACAACTTTTATAATGTAATACCTATAGATATAAAGGCGTTCTGGTGTGGCGCTGTGGGTTAATACGCTGGACTGCAAAATCGGTTTGAACTGCAGTGTTGGCGGTTCAAGCTCAGCAGCTGTTCCTCGGAAACACAATACAGGGTCACTATGAGTCGGAACTGACTCGACAGCACTTAACAACAACAACAGATATAAAAAAAGCAAAAATATCAAGAAAACATTTGTCTAGAAATGTAGACCAAATTACTGCATGAGCTTAATGTGTTAGTCATGTTAACTGTTTCTTTAGAATTTTCTCTCTCAGCAATAAAGTATAATTTCTAGGTTGCTTCAGAAAACTTCCCTTGCTGCCTCCCAAGAATCCAGTAAGACATGTAAGTATTTAAGTACTTACTCTTTCTGCCGAGGGTCACTAATGATGTGGCCTATCCTCTCAGTACCCAAAGTACTTAGGCTTGTCTCCTGAAAAGACAAGGAAGACGAGACTATCATCCAACCACAAAAACAAAGTCCAATCTGTAGCAAGTTATTCTTTCCCAAACTGTGCCAGCTGAGGCACCCTCAAAGGCACATTCCCAAAATCAGTCTTAAAATTTAACAGCTATTGTGTCCCTTTTTATGCAGAGATACCTTAAATGTATTTACATGTTGTTGTTAAGTGCTGGTGAGTCAGTTGTGACTCCTAACAACCCTGATCCAAGGCTGTAAATCTTTTGGAGAGCAGAAAGCCTCATCTTTCTCCCTGGGAACAGATGGTAGCCAGTGCTCTTCCTACAGAGCAACTACACGGCCCTATTATCTTAGCTTAGTCTTATTTTTTTGCTAACGATCAAAAAGTCATTATAAGCATTGTCCTGTAATTAATACACAGGAATTTAAAAAAAAAAAAAAAGCTAAAACAACTACCAGCAGCCAACTGTCACAGGTCAGCATACCAAGCTCCCTACAGCTCTGCCGTTCCAGCCCCAACAGCCTTCCTACCAAACACTGATTGAGTAAGCACCCAGTATCTGCTGATTAAATAACACACTTCAAAGGTCTTTGGTGAATTAAAAAAATAATCACCAAACTTGTGTTTTGTCCCTTAAATACCTTTTTGATGAAATAAAATAGAAGTTTATACAAACTGATTCTTAAATTTGGGATCCTCGCGACTGTAATATGAACACCACTACACTATTCTGAAATTACTCCTCTCCAGAAAGTTAGAAACTGAATACTTACAGTAAATCTGAGTGCCTGGGAAAGCACACCAACACATACGTGAATACGAGTTACCCACACGTGAGAAAGTGCTTAGGACCCAGGTCACAGGCAGGCACGTCAAGAACATCAAGCCTGTTACTTACACATGTCTGCTGCTACGAAAATGTCATTTGTCAATGGCAAATGATTTTTCTTTTAATGTCTATGAATTAACCTTTTAGAATATACATTTAGCACAACAACTGGTTACGTAAAATTAATTTCATGTCAGCTTCTGGGTGGGAGTGGCTTCCCATTTTGTATTGTTCATGTTCTTCATCCCTTACGGCCAAACCTCCTGGTCACAGGCAGACATGGTAGAGGTGCCAAGGGGAAAGATGGGTGAAAAATGAGCTATTTGTTACAGCAGGAAAATTATTAACTTAAAGTGCCGTAATGTTTAAATTTACAGTTTATTACTGTGTAAATTACAAGCAGTACTTTGCGTAATTAGCAGCTCGCTGGCAGGGAGCTGTGAATGAAACTCATTATTTATGATTATAATTTAGAAAAAGAGAAGAGAGATGAGGGGGAGGGAGAGGAGGGGGGCAGAGCCATGACCTCTGCTAGAAATGACAAATATCCCTTTAAGGTGATGAAGATGAATTAAACAAGTAAATATTATCTTATTCATTTGAAATCATTAGAGGCATGTCCAACAGGCCCTAGGCTCTTCCAGGCAAGTTTAAAAAGGGAGCCTTCAAGAGGAACTGATTTACTTCCATAGAAGCGGAAGGCTCTTACTTTATAGGAGTTAAAACAAAGTAAAACAGGCTGGGAGAACATCATCTGCCAAGCCTACCCAATAAAGATGTAAATAAAACCATTCTGGTGCTCCACTCCCCACCTCCTGATTCACCAATCCCAGGTACTCCTCAGCTGTCCTATTAGGGATGACCTGCCAGTACAGCAAAAATAGCATTTTACTATTTGTAAAGTGAGTTTCCAAAAGGAACATAGTGTCAGTGTTCCAAAACTCAAATGTCTTTCTAGTTGGGGATTTGGATTTTAATCTAAAGAGTCAAGGCTCTGAGTTCACCCGAAAATCAACAGCATTTCTTTTGCATATATAAACCTTGAGAAAACAGTTCCCTGGTTATTAAACTATAAAATAGTGGCTCCTCACAGGCAGTCAGCCTGTGGTGCTAGCCACTGAATCTTTGGCTTGGCACAGAGCCTGCCACACAGTAGGTACTCTACATGCTTACTGGTGAACACGAAGAGCAATGTGCTCAAATGCCTCTCTCTCCCTCCCTTACTCTTTCTGCCCACCACCATTTCTTGAACTGACGATGAGCCCTATCCTTACCCTATTTCTCCATCTCAGTGCTAGAGCAAAAATAAAAGGGAAGCCTGGGTTCAAATCTCTACTCCAACTCTTCTAGCTGGGCAATAGCAGGCATTCTTTCTGTGAAGCTATGTTTTCCTCATCTGCTAAAAGGGATTATTACCTTTTAATAAGGTGGCTGGAAGAATTAAATGAGCAGATACACAAAGTGCCTAGCACATTCCCTCGCAAAGGCAAAACTGAGCCCTGGTAGCGATATGATTACAACCTGGGCTGCTAACGTCAAGTGCAATAGTTCAAGTCTACCAGTCACTCCTTGGGAGAAAGATGAGGCTTTCTACTCCTGTAAAGATGTACAGCCTGGGAAATCCTATACAGGGTCACTGTGAGTTAGAATCCACTAGGTAACACTCAGCCACTGCCTACGTTCCTACCCCATGGTCAAGGAGGGACTCTTGACATTTTGTTTTTGTTTTTAAATTCTAGGATGAAAAGAACAAAGAATTGAACAAAGAGGCATTTATGAATTCAGGAGGGGACATAAAAAAGCCAAAAGTATTGTAACTTCATTAAAATAATGAGATTAATAAAAAATACAGAACAGTGGTCAGGCCTGTAGATTTATAAGCAATTGACACTGTAAGAGTGTCTGATTGATTAAAACTTACGTATGAATTAAGCCTCATCTTTCATGTGTACATCAATTCATTCCCTACATGACGTTCACTCTCATGAAGCTACAAACATTCCAGTTTGCTTAACTAACTCCATGGTATTTTGCAGCCCCTTTGATTAGCAACAGGGCACACCATCCCAGAAGGAGTATTCGCTTCCCACTGAGCCTAGTAAACAGTGAGCGCTCTCACCTTCCCACAAAGCCTTCTTCGCCCCTTCCTGAGGCAGCGGGCTGCAGCTCCAGGCAGACGATTGAAGCGCGCATGGTACCCTAACAGGAAAGAAGAAAAGCTCTGGTTACCAAATCAGAAAATTCATAAGCAAACATCTGCTTCTAGCACATGGAAGGTCTTACCACCAAAACTGTACTAGTTGTGGTTGTCAGGTCCTGTCAAATCAGTTCCAACTCAAAGCGACCCAATGCACAACAAAATGAAACACTGCCTGGTCTCTTGCCATGCTTGAGCCCACTGCTGCTGCCGCTGTGTACTAGAGTGAGCCTTAGACTAGCATCACTGGGCTACCTACCAAAGATTTATTATTCCCATGTCTTCATCACTAGCAGTATAATCTTAGGTCATTTGACATAAGCATCTTCATTTACCAAACAAGGGGAATCACTTGCTCCGTCCTATCTTGTATGCATGTTTTGGTGACCAAATGAAATAGCATAAGGAAGGCACTTTTTCAAATGAAAGCACCCATGAATTTAAGGCATTATTGATGGCTTCTAATTTTAATTATCTATTTCTAGTATTCTCTGTTTTCACCCCAGATCCACCTGATGTCAATAATGATAACCCTAGTTCCAAGTCTTCTGAATTCAGTTTGTATTTCTGCCAGCTCCATGTAGATATATTGCTGTAATCATTTTTTAATTATCTTCAGCAAAAATTTACTTGCATGTGGTAATTAAGAATATGACTCAATTATTTCCACATTCCACTGGGTCACCTTTCGGGTAGGCACAAATATGGATCTCTTCCAACTGGTTGACCAGGTAGCTGTGTGCCAAATTTCTTGGCATCAAAAAGCACCTGCAGCTTTGCATCTGTTGAAATGTCTCAACTGATATTTCATCAATTCCCAGAGACTTGTTTTTCACCAATACCTCAGTGCAGCTTGGAATAGCTTTCCCCACTGAAGAGTTTTCACCATGTCTAGACTGGTCTGGTAAAAGGAGATGGGGATAGGATTCTCTTGATTCAATATTGAGTAATTATTATCATGACTAACTGCGATTGTCATAACTGTAAAGGTAGAAGTTTTGTAACATAAAGGGGGAATAGTTTATCTTATATTCCAGGAACAGAGAACCCTAAGACCATCAAGGGAGAAGAGCACAAGCAGAATGTGGGACCCTATCCAGAGAAACAGCAACACCAGAGATGGAGGCAGAGATGAGGACATGGAGAGAGGGAGCAGCTGAGGACTCCAGACTTATGGAAAGAGAAAGGCTGTGTGCTGGATGGAGGCTTGCAGAATGTGCCCTTTGCTGGTTTAAATAATTCTATATTCCTGAGTGATTCTGTGTACATAAAAAAAAAACAACTAAGGGAATAGAAACAAATATTGTTAAATGATGATGCATGGAGGGGATTGTGATCATTGCAATGAACAAAATATGACAGGATGAATGCAAAACCAAGGTTCTCCCAATGTAAATGGTCACTCAACTCTCAATAAAAGCTTCAAAAATATAGTCAGGTTTTCTTTATTTTTGTCAAACTTTATATTGGTTGGACTCTAATAAATGCAGGCTAATCACATCACAGGAATGGGATAAGCACTGGACTGCTAACAACAAGGTCAGCAGTTTGAGCCCACAAACTGCTCCATGGCAGACAGATGAGGCTTTCTGCTCCCACAAAGATTTACAGACTCAGAAATCTTATACAGGGTCACTGTGAGTCTGAACCAACTTGATGGCATTTAGTAACAATAATTTAAATTATGTTTATTCCACACCAAGCTAAACCCACTGCCCTCTCATTGATTCTGACTCATAGTGACTCTCTATAGGGTTTCTGAAACTAAAGTCTTTACGGGAGCAGACAGCCTCATCTTTCTCCCGTGGAGGAGCTAGTGGGTTTGAAGTGCCTTTCAGTAAGCAGCCCAATATCTAACCCACAGAACCACCAGAGCTCTTTATGTGTTCACTGCTGGTGGTAGTGGTGTGCCGTGGAGTTACTTCTGACTCACAGTGACCCTGTATAGGGTTTCCAAGGCTGTAAATCTTTCTCCTGCTATGTGTTCACTACTACTTCCAAAAACATCCTAATTCATAAAATAATGAAAAAATTAGCTCAGGGAACCTGAATGCAGTTATTTTTAGACCAAGCACCAAAACTCCCTTATATTTCTATTTCCCTAAAGTTTCAATTTCCCAAGCCTGCCAAAGTTAGCTCCTCCTAAATTCCACTACTTGGCAAGCCCACCACAGTTAGTCTCTCTTAAACTCTACCTCCAGTAAGCCCTCATAAAAGTCCTCAGCCTGTGCAGAAGAGTGCTTCTCACTGTGGTCAGCAAGCCCCTCCCAGCTCTGTCTTGAATCAACCTGTCTTTGCTGTTGAGCCGCACTCTCTGTGTCTCGTTTCTCTATTGACTCTAACAACAGCATTATAGTATAATCTCATTTTTGTAACTAACCCTGCATAGGGTTGCTATAAGTCAGAACCAACTGAATGGCACTTACCAACAAATAATTGTATAGATTGCACCTCAATATAAAAAAACAAAACTCCTTACCACTGGTCAGTGAATGCCATCAAGATAAATGGAGAAAAAGATTGAAGTTGTCAAAAACTTCATTTTGCTTGGATTAACAATCAGCACTCATGGAAGTAGCAGTGAAGAAATCAAACGGTGTAGTTCATTGAGCAAAACCACTGTATAAGACCTCTTGAAGGTGTTTAAGAGCAAAGATTCCAAGCAATGGTATTTTAAATTGCCTCATATGCACGCGACAGTTGGACATTGAATAAGGAAGACGGTCGGAGAACTGATGCGTGTGAGTTGTGGTGTGGGAGACTGCTGACAGGGCCACAGCGTGTCTAAAGAACAAAGAAAGTGGTGTTGGAAGAAGCACAGGTCAAATGTTTCTTAGAAGCCAGGATGATGAAACTATCTTTCATACTGGACAAGGTATCAGTGAGGACCAGTCCCTGGAGAAGGAAATCATGCTTAGTAAAATGGAAGGTCAGCAAAAAAGAGGAAGACCTCCAAGAGAGGGACTGGCACAGTGGTAGTAGCAAAAGGCTCCAGCATTTATGACAATGGCACAGCACCAGGCAGTGTCACTCAATCAGAACTGACTTAATGGCACCTGAAAACAACCAATGTTCTACAGGAGACCTGACAATGTAGTGGGTTACACGTTGGGCAGCTAACTGCAAGGTCAGCTGATCAAATCCACAAACCACTGTGTATGATAAAGATGAGGTTTTCTGCTCCTGTAAAAATTTCTAGCCTCAGAAACCCCATACAGGGTGGCTGTGAGTTAGAACCAACTCCATGGCACACACAACAACCTAAGTGTTCTAAGGAACCCTGGTGGTGCAGTGTTTAAGCATCCAGCTGCTAACCAAAAGATTAGCAGTTGAAACCCACCAACTACCGCACAGAAGAAAGATGCAGCAGTCTTGGAAATTCTATGGACGTTTTACTAAGTCCTCTAGTCACTATGAGTCAGAATGGACTAGACAGCAAAGGGTTTCCTGTTTGGGTTTTTTTTGTGTGTGTGTGTTTGGATGTGTTTGGATCACAGACAAAGCACTAGAGGAATCCATACAGAAATGCTATCAATGGAATTGTCACTGACATTGACACACAGAGCTGACATTTGAAATGTCTTCTTCTTGCTAATCTCAGTTATTGAGATATATCTGAAGAGGTCCATAGAGAACTTTAGAAACCTTCATGGAAATGTTTAATGAAAACCATGTGCTTCAAAACAGGCACCAAGTCTTCACCAAGAACCAACTGCTTTGAAAAGGCAATAGCACACCTTTCAAACAGCCAAATCTATCCTAACAAAATCCTATATGATAAGAGTTTATAGCTCTTAGTGTAAAAAAAAAAGAAGAAAGAAAGCCTCTGACAGTTTTGCTCAACTCACAAATCACACATGACAGCCCTGACGTCCCCGGAAAATGAAGGGACTCTGTCACAGCCACCTTGTCTGGCAGACAGGACCAGGGACAAGCTGGTCACATTTCCACCCCCTGTACTGCATAATGGAAGGGAGAACAAAGAGAAAGACTATATGTTTATGTTAAAGCATTTAATAATAGAATTATTAAAATCATTTGAAGAAATATTTTTAAGTCATCCATTAAAAAACTGTCATTATATAGATCAATGGAACAGAATTGAGAATCCAGAAATTAACTCATTCACATACAGCCAAATGATCTTCAAAGGCCCAAAGTACACGGAATGGGGAGGAGACAGTCTCTTCAACAGATGGTGCTGGCATAACCGGAAATCGATATGCGAAAGAATGAAACAAGACCTTTACCTCACGCCATATATAAAAACCAACTCAACATGTATTAAAGATGTAAATGTAAATTCCAGATCTATAAAAGTCATCAATGAAAAAAACTGGGACAAATTTAAGGACTCAAACACTGTGCAGACATAAGCCCTGTTTGTGCGAGAATTGCGACAAACAGAAGACAACAAAATAGATGATTGGGACATAATAAAATTAGAAAGCTATGAGCATCAAAAGATTTCACCAAAAGAGTAAAAAGGGAACTAACAGAATGGGAAAAAAATCATTTGCAACGACATATCAGATTAATCTCTAAAATACATAGGAAACTACAACACTTCTACAAGAAAAAGACAAATAACCCAATTAAAAAATGGGCACAGGAAATGAACAGACATTTCACCAAGCAAAACATTCAGGCAGCCAGCAAACATATGAAGAAATGTTCATGATCATTAGTCACTGCTGTTGTTGTTATTAAGTGCTATATATAGTCGATTCCGATCCATAGCAATCCTGCATAGGGTTTCCAAGGAGCAGCTGGTGAGCTTGAATCACTAATCTTGCAGTTCAAATGACTTTGCAGTCTGACACATTAGCCCATAGTGCCACACCAGGACTCCTTGTTCTTGTTGTTGTTGTTAGGTGCCATCGAGTCGGTACCAACCCATAGCGACCTTAAATGCACAGCAGAATGAAACCCTGCCCGATCCTGGGCCAACCTCACTACTGTTGTCACGCTTGAGTCCATCGTTGCTGCCATTTGGCCAATCCATCTTGTTGGGGGTCTTCCTCTTTTTCTCTGACCCTCCACCTTACCAAACATGAATGATACCCTTCTCCAACAACTGGTACCTCCTGATAATATGTCCGAAGTATGAAAGACAAAGTTTGGCCATCTTGGCCTCCAAGGAGCACTCTGGCAGCATGTCTTCCAACACAGATCTGTTGGTTCTTTTGGCAGTCCATGGCACTTTTAATATTCTCCTCCAACACCATAACTTAAAAGCATCAATTCTTCTATGGTCTTCCTTATTCACTGTCCAGCTTTCACATGCATATGACGTTATTGAATATACCATGGCTTGGGTCAGGCGCACCTTAGTCCTCATGCGGACATCTTTGCTCTTCAACACTTTAAAAAGGTCTTGTGCAGTAAGCAGATTTGCCTGATGCGATAAGTTGTTTGATTTCTTGACTGCTGCTTCCGTGAGTGTTAATAGTTGATCCAAGAAGAATGAAGTCCTTGACAACGTCAATCTTTTCTCCGCTGATAAGAATGTTGTTTATTGGTCCAGTGGTAAGGATTTTTATTTTCTTTACATTGAGATGTAATCCATACCGAAGGCTGTGCTCTTTGATCTTCATCAGTAAATGTTTTAAGTCCTCTTCACTTTCAGGAAGCAAGTTAGTATCACCTGCATATCAGGTTGTTAATGAGTCTTCCTCCAATCCTGATGCCACATTTTTCTTCATAGAACCCAGCATCTTGGATTATTTGCTCAACATACAGGTTGAATAAGTATGGTGAAAGAATTCAACCTTGTTGCACACCTTTCTTCATTTTAAACCATTCAGTGTTCCCAAGTTCTGTTCGAACAACTGCCTGTTGGTCCATGTACAGATTCATGAGCACAATTAAGTGTTCTGAAATATTCATACTTCGTAATGTTGTCCATAGCAAGACTCCTCAGAGAAATGCAAATCAAAACAACAATGAGATATCATCTCACACCAGCAATTAACTGTGAAGTTCAAAAAAACAGAGGACAATAAATGCTGCTAAGGATGTGGAGACACTGGGACCCTCCTACACTGCTGGTGGGAATGCAAAATAGTCCAACCACTCTGGAAAACAGTATAGCGCTTCCTCAGAAAACTAGAAATACACATACCTTATGACCCAGCAATTCCTCTACTTTGTATATATCCACAAGAAATACGAGCCAGAACACAAGCAGATATATGCACAACAATGTTTATCACAGCACCACTCACAACAGCAAAAAGATGGAGACAGCCTAAGTGCCCATCAATGGAAGAATGGATAAATAAACTTTGGTGCAAACATATAAGGGAATACTATGCTACCTTGAAGAATAACAATGAAATTAGTCACAAAAGGACAAATATTGCATGAGAACATTATTGTAAAAGCTTAAGAAAAGATACCCATACTAAAAGAAAAGAAAAGAAAAAAAAAAAATCCATCATTATAGCTTGTATGTGAATGATCTTACTGGAATCTGTTCTCTTCCAGGATGCAATCCTTCAGACTCTCGTTGGGTCCTACTAACACATCCACTTCACAGCAGTTTCATCAGAGACATACCGAGAGGCTTCCTATAATCTGGCACAAATGGCCCTGGACAGCTGAAGAAATATGCTGCTTATATACAAAGGGGCTTCAAAAAGTTCAAGAAATAAATGAAATGAATAATGGAATTTTTCCACAAACGTTTTGAAGTTCCCCTGTACATCCAGGAGTTGGTTTCTGTGGGAACGGGAAGAACCTCAAACTTTGAGGCTCACTCTTGACTCCTCTAGGAGAATCCCTGGGCTAGCCCAAACTGCAGAAAGCTAGTGTGTCCTTCAAGGTGTGAGTGTGCTGGCCAAGGGCTACTTCTTCTCCCCAAAGAGATGTTTTAAAAAGCATAACGTATACTTGGGACCCCGTAGAACTTACCTCTTTGAGCTGGTCGAGAAGGTAAAAGGAACGTGGAATCAGAAAGTTTATCCAGTCCAGAGTCCATCCTTTCTACTTCAGAGCAACGCTCAGGTGCCCACTTGGGCAGCAGATTAGGGACAGTGAATCCTGGGACACATTCTCCTTCATAGAACCAATCACTCTGTTCATCATCCCCTAAAATAAAGACATCACATCATGGGCTAGCTTTTTTTTTTTTTTTAATAGTATTTTATTGTACTTTCAATGATGGTTTTACATAGCAGTCTAGGTTCCCATTAAACTCTTTCAACACCAGTTGTTCCATAACACTGGGTACATTCTTCACAATATGAGGGGGGTTTCACAGAAAATCCCGTATCTTTCCATTCCATTTTGCTATGAGCTTTTTGAAGCCCACTTGTATGTGAAAAATCTCATTATTTCCAGCCTGCTTGTTCCATTCCCATTCATCTCATTTCCCTGCCCCCTTACCCTCTCATCTTTGTTCTACAGTAACTGGTGACTATTTAGTCTCATACAGGCGATTTCTTGTAAAGGCACAGAGTACTCATCGATGGTGCTCATTATTTATTTATTTTAGCCAGTTTGTTATTTAGCTGTCAGGTATGACATCAGAGTTCATTTTCTATCAGGCTTTGAAAAGTATGTCAGGGCAATAGTCTCGGGGGTCCTTTGGTCTCAAAGACCCCAGGGTCTATTTTGGGGAGTTTTTAGTTTGCTTGCTTGCTTGTTTTTCAGGATTTTGAGGTTCTCTTCCATGTTTTTCTCCCTTTCTATCATATCAAGCTCCATCCATGTGGCTCTGAGTAGAATGGTCAAGTCATGGTAACTGGGCACGAGCTAGTTCTTCAGTCTCAGGGTGGATGAAACCATGGCTCCATAAACTGAACTTTTACTATCCTCATGAAAAAACCAAATGAGAAGGTGGGTTCTCAGCACTGTCATTTGGGTTATTTTTGTTGTGGTTTTTTTTAAAAAAAAACAAACAAAAAAAAAAAAAAAAAAAAATGTTTTCACCATTCTTGATTATACTGTATGTGTCACTGGACTCCTTTTAATAGTAAAAATCAATAAAGCTACCATTTAAAAAGCCTTAGAACAAACCAGGATGCAAACTAAAATGAAAAACAATGAAGCTAGGATGTAAACCCAAAGTCTGACAAACCCCCAAAATTTGAGTCTCTCCCAACACTAAACTACCTCCCATATACCATCATCAGTAGCATAAACGAACTTGGGGGTTCAAAATCCATTTATGTTTCGCAATCTGAACTAGCTGTTCCTGAAGAATTTCTTACTTTTCATTTGTTTTCATACTAGGTGAATAAAGAATGGATGCCTGTATCTCCTTTTTTCCTCAGTATTTCATTATTGGGACAGAAAATCACCAGGGCGCTAGCAATTCTATCAGGGAAAATCCCACCACAGAGACAGACAATTCAATTCCCCAAGGCTTGTCAAGAAGTTAAACCATTTACCTAAGGCCATATTGCTCATTAATGACAAAGATGAGACCCACACCCACACAGCCAGGCTCTTATTTCAAACTTCTTTCTCTTGGCTACAATAGAAACTGAGTAGGAGCTCAGTTTCTACTATCGTTTATTTCTGCCAACATAGAATTTGTCTGCCACTCTACCTCCTTTCAAAAGAGCAAGGATTCTGAAACTTACTACAGGACTATCGACAAGGTCCACAGTACATTTCTTCTCCAAAGCATACTGAATCCTAGGGAGGCTGCTCGTGATGTGCCAATCAGCTGAAGGATCAGATTCCTGGGCCACTTACACCCAGGATAATACTAACTTTTAAATCACTGTGGGACTGGTGTAGTTGTATGCCACCAAGTCAGTTCCAACTCACAGCAACCCTGTATAGGGTTTCCAAAGCTGAAAATCTTTACAGGAGCAGAAAGTACCTTCTTTCTCCCAAGGAGCAACTGATACATTGGAACTGCTAGCCTTGTAGTTAGCAGCCCAGCTCACAATCCACTACATTACCGGGGCTCCTTTTTAAATCACAGCAGAATCTCCCAAACAGCAATGGAAGCTGAGTTCCATGTACCGGTGAATAGCAGCATTACCAACTAAAGAAGTTATTCAAATGTCCCCCTTATACAAATATACCGCAAACAGCTGCATCTCTAGCACAGTGGTTCTCAAACTTCAGCCTGCATCAGAAACTCCAGCTGTTGCTAAGTGCATTCCAACTCACAGCGACCCTACAGAGGAGACTGCTTCATTTAAATGCAATAGATCACCAGGTCTTTCCTCTCACTGAGCAGCTAGTGGGCTCAAACCACCCACCTTTCTGTTAGCAGTCAGCCACTTAACCACTGTGCCACAAAGACTCCTTACAGACTTGTTAAAACACGGATGGCTGGACCCTACCCCTAAAATTTCTGACTCAACAGGCCTGGGACAGGACTAAAATTCTGCATTTCTATCAAGTCTCCTAGTGATACCACGCTGCTCTTGGAACCAGATTTGAGAGCCACTTGTAGCGTTGTGGGATACTGCACTCGACCTCAAGGTTGGGTTGAACTGCAAGGTCAGTGGTTCAAATTCACCATCCACTCCTTGGAATCCCTATACAGGGTCGCTATGAGTCAGAACTGACATGACAGCACTTAACCACTCTAAAAGCAGAGTCCTGGTGTGGCACTGCAGGATAAACACTGGACTGTAAGGTTGACCTGAACTGTAAGGTCGGTGGTTCAAATCCACCAGTCCCTCCTTGGAAACCCTATACAGGGCCACTATGAGTGTCTGGATGGCACGTAACAAGAACCCTAAAAGCATCTCACCAAACCAGGTATGTAGATGAACTAAAATTAGGGTTAGTATAAATGATGATTAGTTTCTCAGCACTACCACATATGGATACCTTTCTTATGCACAAGCATGCTTAGGCTATTTATGAAAACAGCATACTGAGGCACCTCGTGTTCACAAATGCTGTTAATGGGTACTCATACAGACTCCAGTGGCATTTTTTTGGTTCTCAAGTACTCACTCAGGACTTTTAATAATGCATAAAGGGGCTGACTGAATGGGACGGGACCTTAGGAGATCATCTAGACCGGCAGTCGGCAGCCGGCAGCCTAATATAGCAGTTACTCAAAAGGGTGCTGCCAGGGAATAAGGAAGGGCTGAGGGGACCTGGCTCCTGACCACCAGCCCTTCTAGTATCTTGAGTTAGTCAAAACAGGTCTCACTATTTCATAATGAAAGTTGTTGCTGCTGTGAAGTGCCGTTAAGCCAGTTCAGATTCAGACTCAGAGACCCTGTATAGCATTTCTGAGGAATAACCTTGAGGTTAGCAGTCTCCAGTGCTTTGAAAACTACTTGTAGCCTTGTGGGATACTGCACTCAACATGCCACACCAGGACTCCTATAATTATAAAGTAGGAGCTCTGGTAGCGTAGTGGTTACGAATCGGGCTGCGAACCTTAAGGTTAGCGGTTCGAAACTACCAGCCGCTCCGCGGGAGAAAGATGAGGCTTTCTACTCCCGTAAAGATTTACACCCTCGGAAACCCTGTATAGGGTCGCTATGGGTCGGAAACGACTCGACAGCACTTAACAACAACAACAACAACATGTAAAAATTTGTTTGGAAAGAGAAGTTTCCTCTTAAATTTTGAGAGCTCGCAAGATGCCAGGCAATGTTTTAAGTACTATGGCTGCAAATAATCAAATAATTCCTCCTGTGAAAAGCTTCGATGGAAAAGATGCCCGCCCTCTTCCACCCCCGCACCAGTAAGACTGCAATAAGGTACATGACAAGAGAGCAAGCAGTACAAGGAACCACAGTGCACAAAGAAAGCGAGAAAAGCTTCCAGGAGATGAGGGCTGGGCAGGGTCCATCAGCCAGGATTCTTTCAGGAAACAGATGGCACGTTTAAATGGGGTAATTGAGGAGACATTAAGGAAGTGACTATTTACAAAGGGACAGACATCATTAAGAGGAAACAGTAAAGAGTGATGAAGCACCCTGATGTTCACAACAGCAGGGCTCAGCGAGAAAACTGTGGCCGCAGGGGAAGGCGGCCTTCAGGAGAGGGTCACAATCAGCAGTCCAACGGAAAGGGAGCCAGGAAAAGACAGAAGTCCACGGGGCAGACTGCGTTCCTGCTCCCAGTTCTCCATTTCCACCCTCTATCCAGCGGTCCTGCACGTCCTCCTACTGACAGGGGACCTGGTTATATGACCCGATTTACATGGGAGAGCATTCAGTCACCGTCACTCACTCAATCACTGCCATCAAGTCAACTGTGACATAGAACCATCTTGTGTAGGGTTTCTGAGGCTGTAAATCCGTACAGGAGCAGAAAGCCTCATATGTCTCCCATAGAGCAACAATCCTATAGTGACACATAAGGACTCCTTAAAAGTATTAGACACAATTCATGCAAAGGCTTTAAGTGTGCATACATGGTCTAGTTTGGTCCCTGGGTGTTTACATCCTCCACCACAAGAAGTCCAATGCCTCAAACTGCCACTGCTCCTTTAGTCTAGACCCCATAATAAGACACTGAGGAGATACAAACCAAACTTGAAGCCTATAGACCGGCTGAATCCAGGTTGTTATTGTTAAGTGCTGTGGAGTTGGTTCTGACTCATAACAACCCTCTTTAGGGTTTCCAAGAAGCAGCTGGTAAGCTTGAACAGCCGGCCTTGTGTTTCAAATCAACCTTGCAGTCAGTCAGTGCATTAACCCACAGTGCCACCCCAGGACTCCAGTTGAGCTCAGGTAAGATGAGCTAAACCATAGCCAGCGTACAGCTTCATAAACCCACTGCCCTCAAGTCAATCTTGACTCATAGAGACCCCAAGAACAGAGTAGAATTGCTCCACAGGGTTTCTGAGACTGTAAATCTTTGCGGGAATGGAACAGACAGCCTCTGTTCCTGTAAAGCCACGCCCGTGGGGTAGCTAGTGAGTTTGAACCACCAACCTTGCACTTAGCATTCCGACACTTGAGTGATGGTTGTAGTTAACCACTGAAATTCTGAGGCTGTTAGCTAGCATTATCACAGTGAAAACCTGACTAATACACCCAATCTCACTCATCTCCCTCCCTCTGTCCAATCCTCAGCGGATGCCTCCTATTGGCCAAACCCTACTAAAAGAAGTCAAGAGCAAGAAAGTCTGCAGATGCAGTTCATAAAATCAACCAGTTTACCTGGGAGCAAATGAAGAGCCATGTGTGGATGGACGACCAGTCATTCTCAAAAAGGTGAGGCTGAGATCTGAGGCAGACAGAGCAGCTCAAAGGCAGGGAAGCAGGAAGCAGTATAGTTTTGTGCTGACATCACTAAGCAGCTAATTATCACCAGACTATGTGAAGTTGAAGCAGTTACAAGAAGGAAAACTGGAGCAAGAGAAAAATATTCTGCATTTCTTCTAGATAAACCAAGGCATTCTGAATAAAAAGACTTGCCAAAGGCCATAATCTGCTGTAATGTTTTTGTTGTTAAGTGCCATTGAGTGGGTTCCAACTCATAGCCACCCTATGTAAGGCTTCCGAGGAGCACCTGGTGAGTTTGAACAGCCGACCTTGTGGTTCAAACCAACCTTGCAGTCAAATGTTTATCCTACAGCACCACATAATCTGCTTTAGTAGGTCCGTATTTTTTTCCCACCTCTGTATAAAGATGGCTCATAAACTTTAAGAGGTTTACTATGATACTTCATATAGCACTGAGATATAAAAGCAAAGAAAATGAACAAATATCTGTAACTTTTAAAAAATGATATGTACCAGCTCCCTCATGGAAAGCTTTTCTTAGCATAAGAAAATACAAACAGGACCCCAAGCTAGAGCTGAGGGGTCAGACACAGCTTCAAATGACACCTAGCTCCCTCAGGAAGGAAGTTCAACAACTCCATGGGGATGAATCTGTCCCCATATTGACAACTCTAAGACCTGAAGGCAATATCCTCCCCACAGTCCTATTCCAAATCAAGCTTGGACGCTGAATTTCCGTCTCAGGATCCCTTCAGTTATGAGGGAGCCTACCGGGGTCAACATAGACATGTAGCCACTAGACATCTCTGTTCTTCTGTCACTTAACTCTAAAAGATCTTTGGATTTCAAAGCTAGAAGGCACTTTTGGACTTCTCCTATAAAGCCCTTATTTAGAAGATAAGGAAACGACACCCAAACAAGGCCACATGAAACTCTTGTTGGCACACAATGTGTGACCCTAAGCAAGTCTACAGGAGCCTGGTGGTGCTGTGGTATAAGTGCTCCACTGTGAGCTCCCAGGTGGATAGTGTGAACCCTCCAGTCACTCCCTGCGAGAACGATGTGGCAATCTGCTTCCATCAATCTCTGTCTTAAAGGGTTGCTATCAGTAGGAATTGACTTGACTGCAATTAGTTTGGAAGCAAATCGATAGAAAAAGAGTTTTGTAGAAAGCCCCTGCACCAAAGTAAAGTTCGTTGTTGTTGTTAAGTGCTGTCGAGTCGACTCAGAAACCAAGTAAAGTTTAGATAGTAAAAACAAAGCACTAGTTACTAACACACCAGACTTACTCAACAGTGTCCTCTACTAACCTTCAGCATTCTTAACCTCAGCAAGCCACCCCAACATTATAATGGCTTCATAAATAAGTTTATAGAAATAACTAACTTCTCCCTATGTGAAAATAAGCATGATTTATCAACATCCCAACAGAAGCACACAGGAGGATACGTATTGGCTCGTGCTGTGGGTTAATGCACTAGACCGAACCACAAAGTCGGAGATCAGAAACCCTATACAGGGTCACTATGGGTCAGAACCGACTCGAAAGCACTTAACAACAAATAAACAGCAACTTTCCAAAGTTCTATCCTTGATACTCTAACTCCCAGGCCCAGTGAGTCTCAAAGTCTGTATGACCCGCATCATCATCTAAAGTGCGTGTAGAAAATGGAGATTCAGGGAGCCAACTCTGGACCTATGTGACATCTCGGAGCTCAGGAATGGCAGCTGACAGAGTTCTCCAAGGTGGTATTGGTGGTTATGTGCCGTGGAGTCGGTTCCAAAGAATAGCGACCCTGTACAGGGTTTCCGAAGCTGTAAATCTTTACGGGAGCAGAAAGCCTCATCTTTTTCCCACGGACCTGCTGACCCCAAGGTTAGCAACCCAATTCGTAACCACTACACTACCAGAGCTCTTTAAGGGACTCTTAGATGCCCTAAAGTTTGAGAACCACTGCCACAGACCCCACTGTCTTCCCAGCGAGGCCCTCGGATGACCATTAGCATCTCCCCAGAAGCGCTGACCCAGTGTCCTCAGATTGAGATCAGGATTACCTTGCCGGCCTTCATCATTGGTGAAGAGCCCGGGGTCACTGCTGCTGCACACGCTACTGGTTTCACTGGAAAAGAGGAAAGTGTGAGAGAACTCATCAGCTGTAGTCAAACACCAATCACAGCGTGTTCTTCTTCTGGTTCTCAAACCAGAGGTCCCCCCTGCCAACCTCCGCCTTCCCTGAAACAGAGCCATATAAGAGAATTCTAACACTGTGCCTTGTTATTTCAAGATATTTTTAAACGATCTAAAGTTACTCTGCAAGTTTAGGAACAGAAAGCTATTTATTATGATTCTTAAAGGTAATCTGGAACAAATGCAGTACATTCACCACCACCACCAATTTACAAATTTATCAGTGAACTTTATTTCTAAATATTGCCAACTCTCAAGGTTCAAATAAAGCGAGCTATCAAACTTTAAGACATTGAACCTCTTACACAATTTCTCCCCATTTAATAAACAGAAAACAAAAATCCAGAAACAGAAAAAAAAATCTATGACAAAAGTTCTATTTTTCAAATGTAATGCTTTCCTTGATAGCAAGCAGAAATAATAAAACTCAGTTTCAAAAGGAGTTATGATTAGCAATAAAAATAGGGAAACAAACTTCATTTAAGCTCTTTTAAATAAAACTCTCTCCTTGTGGAATTCTGTTTAATCAGCTCCATTTTCTGAGCTAGGCTCAAAGATGAGTCTTTCTTCTGACGCTTCTTCTTTTCCATCTCATCTTCATCGAAGTTGATTCCTCTGGCTCATTTTTTCTTTTCTCTATCCTTTACAACATTAGCTATTTCCTTGGTTGGCGGTATTTCCTTCTATGCTAGCCTTTCTTTCTGTTGTTGTTAAATCTGCTCTAGAAGATGGAAAAAACCTAAGCAAGGAAGCAGCATTTCCACCAGCCTGTAGAAGGAGTCAGGCTGGCCAAACTCCCAGTCTACATTCCTGGATCACAAACCTGAAAATATTTTGTATTTTGCAACACTTCCAAAAATCTTGCCAACACTAAATATTTAAATGTTGGGTAAGTCTCTCCTCATTTAAGCTTGTCTTTGAGTAACAGACCCGATACACGTTGCCACAGAGCCAATTACATCTACCCTCTTTCTCTATAGTTTCTTCCATTCAATTTCCTTCTGCACTTGTGAGAACACTCTCAAGGACCCCTGTAAGCCATCTCTCACAAAGCCAGATGGCTGGGTTTACAAGAATCGAGAATTTTCTAAGAGCTCTGTAGTGATGTGCAGAAGATCTTCTCAGCAAGAACTGCACTCTTCCTACTTGTAAGTTTGAGCAACTCTGACTGCTGAACGCAATGGAGTCACTTTTGTATTTTTAGTGAATTCTAGAGAACATCAGTGATCTAACTCCATCAAGTGTTAACTACAGTCTCTTATGTTCCGACTTTTTTTTTCTTCTTTTCCTTTCTCCTCAGAGATACTGTACTTTTTCACTTGAAGTTAAAAATCCACTGGCATCACGTCAACTCTAACTCACAGAGACCAGGCAGGACACAGTAGCACTGCTCCATTGAGTTCCTGCATCTTTGTTCTGTGGAGCGGCTGATGAGTTCACACAGCTGACTTGGAAGCCCAGTGCTTAACCCACTACACCACCAGGGCTCTTAACCTGGCGCTGTTGTTGTTCCTAAGTGCCAATGAGTCAGTTCCAACCCATAGCAATCCTGGATAGGGTTTGTAAGGAGCAGCTGGTAAGTTTGAACACTCAACCTTGTGATTCAAACTGACCCTGCGGTCCAGTGCTTTAGCCCACAGCGCCACAAATGCATGAGGCCAAGGAACATATCTTTTACTCCGCTATCATATTACAAGGAGTCCTAGTGGGGCGCTGTGGGTTAATGCGCTGGGCTGCAACAGTGGTTTGAACCGAAAGGGCAGCAGTTCAAGCTCACCAGCTGCTCCTCAGAAATCCTATACAGGATCACTATGGGTTGGAACCAACTCGATGGCACTTAACAGCAACAACAACAACACAGGAGGAGAAGGATATAAAGAGGAAGGGAGAATACTTTCCAAAGAAGCATATCTTGCAATTAATAAAGGGTAGAATATGCCTAGCGTTATGGATTGAATCGTGGCCCCAAAATATGTTGGAATCCTAACCTAATACTTATGGATATAATCCCATTTGTTGTTGTTGTTGTTAAATGCCGTTAAGTCAGTTCTGACTCATAGTGACACTGTATAGGGTTCCCTAAAAGTGGCTGGGAAATCTGAACTGTCGACTTTTCAGTTCAAATAGACCTTGCACTCCATGCTTATCTTTCAGCACCACAGCAGAACTGCAATTTTTGGAACACTTCAAGAATTTCCATGTCATAATAGAATATCATTATTATAAGTGCCATCAAGGCAGTTCTGACTCATAGCAACCCTGTCTAGGATTTCTGAGGAGCAGCTGGTGGATTTGAACCACCAATCTCATGGTTCAAACCGCCCTTACAGTCCAGTTCATTATCCTTGGTGCCACACCAGGACTCTGTCACATCCGTCACAGGGTGACTTAAACTTGGGAACTGTACAAAGAGCAGACTAGACAGGGCCATAAGCATAAATGGCCAGGAAGACAGATGTCAGGGGGTCAAAAAAAGCTAGTCTACAGAATCGGAGAAATCGTCCCCCGGGACCACACAGAGCAAGCCTTCCCCTAGTGGTGGGCCCTGGATTCACACATCCAGTCTCCTAAGATGAATTGGTTTCTTAAAGCCACCAACTTGCAGTAGTTTTCTTATTACAGCAGTATGAGATAATTATGTCACTTAGAACTTAACCCGTATTATAAAAAACTGATGACAGCTGCACTACATGGACCCTCTACAACAAAGATATGAGGAACCACACCTGGTGCCTGGATTCAGGTGGGCGTGGCTCCAGACCTACAAAATCCGCAGAGCCACCATACCAACAGTTAACCAACCACGTTGCTCCCAGCTTCCCTGTTGTCCTAACAGACAATGAAATCACAAACTACTTCTAGATTGAGTGTCCCGAATATAGAGAACACTGAGGCCAATAAGAACTCCACCTAGGGCCAGGAACTCTGCTGTCACATCCCTGCCACACCCACCTCATGAGCTCCTTGACTTTCAGGAGCCCCCCAGAGCTTTCTGCCCTCTGGGTCCAACAACTACACTGTTTGTTTTCACAAGTAAAACAACAACACAATGTCCCAGAGACAACAGGCAAGTTTAGCTCACATGAAGACACAAGAGAGAATGGCTCAAACAAATGACCAAGATGCAGAGCCAGAGGACATTTCTCAGGAAGAAAACATTTCTCTAACTGAAAAAGAATTCAAAAGAATGATAATTAGGTACCTGCAAAGGATTCACAAAAAGACAGAGGAAAGCAAGGAGAACAGAGTAAAGGCTTTAGAAGAAAATCAGGAAAATACTACAAGAACAAAACAGACAAAAAAAAGTACAAATGCTGAAACAATACAAACCTACAATTAGAAATCCAAAAGATTAATACCGAGATCTCAGAAATGGGCAATACATTGAAAGGGCAAATCAGAAGATGCGAAGCAATGGAAGCCCGAATTAGTGAGGTTGAAGAGAAATCTCCCAATACTAGTATGCTAAGAACAATCAGAAAAATGAATGAAAAAATCTGAAGAAAATCTAAGAGTTATGTAGGACACCATGAAGAGGAACAATTTACAGGGGATTGGAATCCCAGAATACAAGAGACAAGCACTGAGAAAACTGTCAGAGTTGTTAGAAGAAAACTAACATCACAACAGATGAGAAGATAAGCATACAAGAAGCTGAACCAGCCCCAAACAGGATAGATTTCAAAAGAAAATCACCAAGATGTATCATAATCAAACTTTCCAAAATCAAAGATAAGGAATGAATTCTAAGAGCAGCTTGGGAAAAGGAAAGAGGTACCTACAAAGGAGAATCAGTAAAATTAAGCTCTGATTTCTCAGCAGAAACCATGCAGAAAAGAGGGCAATGGGATGACATATACAAAACTCAGAAAGAAAAAAAATTGCCAACCAAGAATCATATATATACCCAACAAAAGCTGTCCCTCATTTCCTGATAAACAGAAATTAGAGGAATCTCTAATGATCAGATCAACTTTGCAAAAAATGCTAAAGGGAGTTCTTTGGATTGAGAACCAACAAGAGCAAACAACAAACTGAAATTACCATACATGACAACACCACCCAACACTCAATCCAGAGACAGAAGTATTTAAAGTGGAAACAAGCCTACAAGACTGAAAATAGGGAACACAGAGATATCAATGTATAATGAAGTCAATTACAAAGAAAAAGACTGTTTTAAGCTGGGAAAAAAAGTAATAAATTACAGAGTAACCTCAAATGAAAACAATGTACCTGCATATCAAAGCAAAAAAAAAAAAAAAAAAA